CATATACACTGATAGAAATGCTGGAAAGTAGCCCGAACTACAGTCAGGGAACAATAACACTGGTGGGATGCTTGTCACGAGGAAAGTAAGAAAGAAGGGAGTTCACTGACTTGGGCAGACCTTTGAGCACGGTCATGAGATCCTGCATTAAGAACGGCGTGCTGTCCAAACTGCCTGTTAATCCAGCTAAGCCTGTCTGGGGTAGGTTCATGGACCGGGAATGTGAGTATCACCAGTGTAAGGGGCATTCTACTGATGAGTGTTTCAAATTAAGGCACGATATACAGGATCTGATAGACAGTGGAAAAATTACCAAGCCTTCTGAGAGGAACAAGCCGAGTACAAAGAACAATCCATTGCCCCAATACCAGTACAACTATCCACCCCACAAGTCTCAAGCGGGTGGATCGGTTAATGCAATCGGGAGTGGTCTGCCAGAAGAGCTAGTGTTGGCAGAAGCTGAATGGGAGGAAAGAATGTGTGCCATGCTGAACATCTGGGATGATTGCAGCAGTGAACATTTGGGAATGATTGCAGGCAGTGAAGGAGGGAAGAAGAGAGAGGCCTGTAAGATGAAATTGATGAAAAGCATCACAGTTAAGGGTGGGCGAAGTACCAAGAAAGTGAAGACGAGCAGATTCAGCTTGGCGATTCAGAAAGGTTGGGGCTGATCAGGGTACTATAGCAGTGATGAGGATGTAAATGAGGTTGGCATCTAGATCTTAACCAGAAGTGGTCGTGTGTATAATCTTGATAGCAGTGCTCAGTCTAAAGGAAAAAGAGTCGCCACCGATGGGATGGGAAAGAAGACAACAGACAAGGGTGAAGAATAGCCTAAGGAAAAGAAGAAAGAAGATGAAGTGGGACAGGTGCAAAGGAAGACTACTGAAGTGGGCGAGAGTAGTCAAAACAAAACACCTAGCGGTGTAACAGCAAATAACACCTAGCGGTGTAACAGCAAATTCAATATTGAGCCAGCTACAGAGGACCAAGGCGGATATCTCACTGTGGGATTTACTGATAGCTTCAAAGGAGCATAGAGAGTCTTTGTTAGAAGCTATGACATTTGTTAGAGTTCCTACCAGAATCCAAAGCGTGGACATGATCAATGTATTACAGCGCAGGATTGATGAGATCACTTTCTTTGACTCCGATCTACCTCTAGAAGGAAGGAATCACTTCAAGCCTCTGTACATTAAGCCTCTGTACATTCAGGTTGCTGTTAACGGGCGTGAAACCCGCAATGTGATGGTGGACAACGGGTCGGCCTTGTGTGTATGCCCACTGAAGATGCTATCCAAATTGAAGATTGAGGAGTCAGAACTTGAACCATCTAACATGGTAGTCAAAGCCTATGACAACACTATGCGCAATGCTAGGGGAACCTTCAAGGCAAAAAATTTCGACAGGGACTATAGAGAGCTGGGTAGATGTAGTCATCCTGGATATTTTGGCCAATTATGCTCTACTGTTAGGAAGGCCATGGCTCCATCCTCTAGGTGCAATCCCCTCCACATTGCATAGAAAAGTTAAGGTTCCCTGGGGTACCGATGTGGTGACTATCAATGCACAAGAAGATTTGAATGTGACAGCTGTAGAAGGTTTGAAGGTGGTTGTCCCTTTATCTGGTTTTCAGGTGGCCATGATTGATAATGAAGTAATCACTGAGAGTAAAAGTGCAGTCAACAGGATGAGCCCTTTTTCTGGATGCGCCCTTTTTCTCGAAAAATGATGCAAAAGATGCAATGGAAATATGGCAAAGGGATAGGCCGGGGAGTTACAAGTAAGGTTTGAAACCTTTGTCATCAATCCACATGGCAACAGGGTTCGACGTGGGCTGGGGTTATTTCAGAGAGTTAGAAAGAAGGAGAAATATGGAAGTCCAGTCTCCGGTAAGAGAGCCAGATCTGAATTCAGATTTTCTTTATCCTAGGGCTTTCAGGGGAATTTTCAAGAGTAGAGGCAGACCTAAATCCTGGCCTTGAAATGCTTCTGACAGACTTTGATGAGGCAGTTTGATCAGTCTCCTGAACCTTCCTTTGAAAAGTTGGTAGAGGGCACACAGTTCAAATGTTGGTCATGGTTCAAATAGGCAGTGGGCACTGGAATGGTGTCAACAGGAAGATACCTGAATTGACAGATTTCTTGGGGATTGGGATGAACGCTTCAAGATGGTGCAGGAGCAGAAGGCTAGGCAGGAATCCTCCAGTCAATAACAGCAGCTGAAAGATGCTGAAGAAGCAGAGAGGAAGGTATGAAGATGACAGAGCATGAAGAGGAGAAAGGCAAAACTTTGCCCCAGACAAGCCAAGGAAGCTCCAGATACTGATGAAGTGATTCAAGCAATAAAAGACAGTTGTGATGAATGTATTCGGACAGGCTATTAATGCCTGTCTTTTTTTGTTTTTTTCTGGATTATTGTTTTTGATGAACGATTTTGGATGGTTTCCCTTTATTATTTCAATCAAATGGAAGTGAATTTTGACTACTTGTTTTTTCTTGTTTTCTGATTGTCACGTTCATTAGGCAATTGATTATACCAGGCATATTTGACATAAATTGCATTGATTATACCACGCGCATATTTGACATAAATGCATTGCATCATTTTGCATTTAACCTAAGCACCATCGAAGATCCCAAAATAATCGAAATCGGATCGACTTTAAGCCTGAACTTAGACAGGATCTCCAAGAATGTATCAGGAGAAATTCAGAGGTGTTTGCCTGGAGCTATGCTGACATGCTAGGAATCGACAGATCAATCGCAGAACATTTCATTCCTACTAACCCAAGTATTAAGCCAGTGAAGCAGAAAAGGAGGCGGGTCAGACCAGAGTGGCAGGATAAGATCAAGGCTGAGGTCCAGAAGCAATTAGATGCAGGATTCCCAGAAGTAGTACATTATCCTAAGTGGCTGGAAAACATAGTACCTGTGTGCTGCAGAAGGATGGGAGAATAAGAGTCTGTGTTGACTGACAGGGACCTAAATAAAGCCTCGGGGCCAAACAGATGAACTTTTCCACTTCCGCATAAATATTTTTGACTTGATAGTGCCTGTGTTTTGATAGACAGTGCTGCTGGAATGGGATGTTATTCTATCATGGACGGATTCTCCGGATATAACCAGATACTGATGGCCTTAGTGGATAAGCATGAGACTGCCTTCACCACAGACTTCGGAACATTTTGCTACAGAGTGATGCCGTTTGGACTGAAGAACGCTGGAGCAACATATCAGAGGATAGAGAATGGCTACAACATTATTTCATGATATGATCCATAAAGGATTGGAGGTATATGTGGATGATATGGTGATCATGACAAGAACACAGGAAGAAGACTCAGAGATGCTAGAAAAGTTCTTCGCACAGGTTAAGCAGTACAACTTAAGACTCAATCCCAAAAAGTGCGTATTCAGAGTAACAAAAGGGAAGTTGTTAGGTTTTGTGGTAGCACCTAATGGGATTGAGGTTGACCCCGACAAAATAAAGGTCATTCAGGATATGGAACCACCAAAAACAGAACATCAGGTGAGAAGCTTCTTGGGCAAAATCTAGTATATCAGCAGATTTATTTCTAGGCTATCCATCACATGCGCTCCGATCTTCGAGCTACTTAAGAAGAATCAGCCAGTTAAATGGAATGAGGACCGTTAGAAAGCTTTTGATCACATAAAGAAGTATTTGATGAATCCACCGGTGCTAAGTTCGCCTAGACCGGGAGAGCCTCTGATCTTGTATTTGTCTATAGAGGATGCAGGAGATTGGGGAGCAATGGTTGGCACAGCATAGCCGGCGCTGGCACTGGAGGGTAGAAAGGCCATTTTATTAACATCACGCAAGAAATTTACTGCCTTCGAGGAGGAAGTAACAATTTGGTGGAGAAAAGTGTATATTGGCAGTGGTGTGGTCGATAAGAGAAATTGAGGCCTTACTTTGATTCCTTCAGGGGTCACTTTCGTTTCTAAAATGGGAATCTTAATGAAGTTTATCTTCAAGAACCTACTCTAAGAACGGACGGTTTGTCCAAATGGCTAATTAGATGCCCAGTGTGGATGCAGAGTTTGTCAGAAGAAATACGGTCAAAGGAACGGGTTGTGGCAGAGTTCCCTGGCTGAAATTCCCGTTGTAGGATGACGAATTCATGGGAATTGGAGTTTCTAGATGAACAATTGCTATGTGTTGAAACAGGGCTTGAAATTGGTTACTTTGATGGATCAGCCAATAGAATCGGGGCCGGAGCCGGTATCGTGAAATAGAAGGCACCTAATGGTGAGGTCACAACAATTGTGCAAAAGATTGTTGTGTTTTCCGGGTCACCAATCAATATGGCTGAATATGAAGCGTGTATCATGGGGGTATGGAGGCTCTTCTTGGCATCAGGTGCCAAGAAGTCGAAGTGTGAATAGGAGATTCGGCTGTGTTATCGAACATGCCAACGAGGAGATGGAAAGTGGAAGAAGAAAGGTTTGAAAAGCCCTATGTCGAGTACTTGTTGTAAATGAGGCAGCCTCTTGATAAGATCAACCTTCAATCACATAGGAAGAATCCATAACAGAATTCCCAGATGCCCTTGGCAACTTAGTATCAGCTGGCAGGATTTGAAGTAAGTCGCAAGAACCGTTCAATCATTACGCGGCAAATATCCCGTGCTTATGAAGAAAATTTTGTTGAATCAGGTGGAGTCAGAGGAAGAACCCCTCCCTGGTTTACGGATATCCTGCGGTACATGAAAGACGGAACCTTTTCTGATGATGCAACAAAGGAAGACCGTTCAGTGCTAAGAAAAATGGCTTTGAATTACGTCCTGGCCGATGGTGAATTATATAGGAGGGCTTGGGACGGAATGCTGCTAAGATGTGTGGGTAAAAAGGAAGGAGAAGAAATAATGAAAAAAAATCCATGAGGGAGTCTGCGGTACTCATTTGAGCGGCATGAGTCTGGCCAGAAAAATCATGAGGCAAGGCTATTTTTAGGTGTAGATGGAAGGTGATTATAGATGGAAGGTGACTGTGTTAATTATGTACGTCATTGTAAAGCCTGCCAGTACCATGATAATAAAAGCCATTTGCCTGCTATTGAACTCCATCCGACAGCCCCTTCTTGGCCTTTTTCTGCATGGGGTATAGACATTATCGGCAAGATCACTCCAGCAGCATTAAATGGTCATCAGTATATCTTGGTTGCAGTAGATTACTTTTCTAGGTGGATCGAGGCTCAATCCTACAAAACTTTAACCGCTAAGCACGTGGCTAGATTCATTGAACAGAATATTTTCTGTCGCTATGGTGTTCCCCATCACATAGTTACAGACAATGGTTCTCATTCAATGGGTTCTCATTTTTCAAACGCAGAATGGTTTGGTCAATTTGCTATAGTAGATATAAGGGTTGATTTTTTTTTCCAAAAAAAAAATCCCAACTCTTCTCCTTCATCGTCCTCAAGTAATGGCGGCAGTAGAAGCCCGCGAATAAGGAGATTAAAAGAATCCTGTCCAAGATTTGGGCGAGAAGTATAGAAGCCTGGGCTGAGAAACTTCCTTTTCGCGCTCTGGGGGCATCGCACACCTTCAAATCAGTAAATGGAGCTTCGGCCCCTTTGAACTTGTATACGTAGATGGGAAGAGTGTTTACCGGTAGGAGCTCGAAAGAAAGTCTCTCAGAAGTTCTTGTAGAAGCGGTCTGACCGAGGAAGAATGGGTCAGAAAAGGTATAAGGATCTAGCGCTTTTTTAGATGGAGGAAGATTGAACGGCTCGATTCCAGGATCAAGATTGAGAAAGAGAAGGATCGCTTTCATTGTTTACAAAACCGGGCAATTCCAAGGCTTTAAAGAATGGGAGATTTGGTAATTGATAGATTATTGGACCATGAAGGCCCGAATCATCCTGGTGGGGAAATTCAGACCCACTGGCATGGACCTTCAGAATCCAGGAAGCTATTAGCTAAGGTGCCGCTGAATTAATCACCATGGAAGGGGAGCCCTATCAATCGGATTGTCCAATCAGGACCAAATGAAAAGATTCTATGTCTAAAATGATGATTTTCGATTAAAAAAAAAAAAAAAGCTAGGTCGAAAACCCGAGAGGGCGGCTTTAGGGCAAGAAATGAGCTCGCTAGGTTTTGAAACACCCGGCAAAGGGCGGCCTAGGCAAAAGTTAGAGGATATAAAAATAACGAAAAATGATTAATTAATAAAAAAAGAAGAAAAATTTTGGGATTAACGCGTGTGCTTAGTTTTTAAATGCGAACTCTATGTCCATTGGCGTTCGTGACAGATTTTGTGATGGTTGCTCCATATCACCAAACTTGACTAGGAAGGAGAATACGGGTTAAATGAGTAGTTTAAGAATGAATGACTTGTATTGAAATAAGTTTTTTCTTTACTTCCTGTATAATGTTGAAAGAAGTAAGATCAATAAAGGGTTGAATTTCAAAAATTTTTTCTTCCTTTTCGTTTCGGGGAATATGATTAGGGATGCAAGGACCTTCCTCTCTGCTTATTTGATCACCAAGAATAACTCATTTATTTCAAAACATTGTTCTGGTTGTTGTCCTGCCTAAATGATGAATGCTTTTTAAACATCGATCAGTGAGAATGAATACCATTTTCTCAGTGATTTCCTTGGAAAGATCGAAAAAAAAAACCATGATAAACTTTAGCGCTCAAGTAGGTTCATGTATACATAAAAGAAGTTACCTATGTTGTTTTTTTGTTTGATCTATGCAGGCAATACAAATAGTCAACCCAAGCCTTTTTTTAATTTCCAAATGTAAGCCTCTGTCTTTAAATCAAATGATCCGTTTTCCAATGGGCTTTTTCATTTAAATTGACCCCAGGGCAAGGAGGCCCAAAAATGACTAACGACACAAATAATTCGAAGGAGAAAGAGATTTGTTTGTCTTTTGTTGGCCA